TCGTGATCGTGTTCATGCTCCTCGCCCTGTCGCTGTGCTGCTTTTTTTCTCAGCTGCGGGCACAACCCCGTACATGCTCCTCCATAGTTCCATCAGGAAGGCCGTGATTGCCAGATCCTCAAAGACGTGTTTCGACGGCTCCGTCTCCTCCACCCAGTCACGGCACAGATCAGCTGCGTACGTGAGCTTCAGTCGGGAATACGTGTTCTGGATGAGATGTCGTGGGATCACATTGTCTTTTGCTGGGTTGTAGTTGCTGCCATCACTGTTCTCGCAAACCTTTTGGGAGATGGTAGTGGACGAGGAAGGACGAGTTGAGCGAGCCAGTCGGACATGCGTAGCTAGAAGAGCCTGGAGCGTGCGTTCGAGACGCGTCGGAACAGGGTCGAAAGATTCTGATGCTGGGAACGGGCAGAAATGTAAGGATAGAGTTCCCGTTCCTAACCTTTCTGCTTGTCCTTGTCCTCCTCCATTGTGTGATAATGATGGTTGTGAACATGGCCGTCGCTCAAACTCATACAAAAACGCCAAGGAGCGCAGCAACGGATGGTAAAATGGAAGTTCTTCCTTCGAGGATACATGAGGCGTGTATACGTACAACGACCTTTCCTTTGAAAGCGCAAGGTCTCCAGACGTCGTCGTAGTTTTCTTGCCCTCGTAGAAATGACACGTCTGGTCCAAGGCACGATCCAACCTGGGATTCCGCGGGATGAGCCTCCGGACGACGGTTCGTTTCAGTTCGAAGCCGGGTATCTCCTTGGCTGGTATTGATTCTACCGGATCAGAAGATTGAGGCGGAGGAGCAGCATCACCGCCACCACTTCGTCCTGGTGATGATGATGAGAACAACCGTTCCGTCTCCTGTGGCGTTTTCAGCACACCCAGGCTGTCGAACAGGATGTCCGCGCGGAACAGGTGGCTCGAGTTCATGTTGGGGTTTCCCAGCAGGAAGGTGGTGAGGTTGTAGATGATATCGGGTGTGAAGGGGAGATCGCCACATATGAGGTCGGGCGATGTGACCCATTTCTCATCGTCACCACCACTATCACAGCCATAATGGGCCTCGACCTCTGCTCCATTGCTGTTGTTGGCAGTGGTTAAGGTTGTGGTGCTCCAAGGCGAAGGCACCAAGGTCTGCGAGAGAGGTTTGCCTGAGAGCTGGGAGGGGTCTCGAACAGCCGATCTTTTTGAGCGGGCCATCTTGGTAGCAGTAAGATGTGCAAATAAAAAAAAGAAGGTAAATGCTAGAATCAGGTCATGACCAAATAATACACGCGAAAATTTGCAGCATGTACCATATCATATCAGATGTCCTTCATGATGTATATTCTTCTTGAGATATATGTCCATACATTTGTTTGCAACCCTGGGTCTGTAGCCACCACCAAACCATACATATGTAACCCACACAGTAAGGATTTTCTAATGTACACACACACAAAAAAAAGAGCTCGAATAAAACAAATGCAACGCGTCACCCAGGATGACAGGCCTGTTGGAAAGAGAAATAGATATCAGTCTAATAGAGAAGACTGAGTTAGGAAAGATAAAAAATTAGAATTATGGGCTATCATTAACCCTGCTGCTTGTTTTCACTGGAGGTCAGTTTTACCTCGAAAGGTGGGTCATGTGATACCGATACCCGTTTGAAGAGTAACTTTACATATCTGGAAGCAAGATTCAATTGCATAAAAACCTTCGATTCTTTCTCTTTTCCAGCTGGGAAATTTATATTTGGTTATCTATGGTAGTAGGTATATTTATATACTCCACTATTAGTGTCCCCTGACAGTTGATAGCTGCTGTGTTGTAAAATCAAAGACGCTAGACAAGATAAAAGTTGTAAATATATATATATCTACAGCGCATGCCCATGCATTCAAGAACAGGCAACATCTCGCAATGCTATGAGCCAGAAAGTACCCCAACTTCTCAAATCAGTCAATTAACGTCGTGCAAAATGCAAACTCGTCATCTAAATCTGGCACAGCTTAATTACGGAGTATTATTAGGAGATGAGTCGATGAGCCACAGACAAGATCAAAATGACATACAGCCAGAATGGATAGGATATAATATATACTATAAAGTAAATATATATACATGTATAAAAGCCCCGTCCCTTTTTATGATTCCCCACAAATGCAATCTGTCCCAAAACCATGCCCCAAAACGCCGTGCTAGCAATGGTATCCAGGCAAAACATGCATGCAAAACGTCTTGTTGTCCAAAGGAAACCCAGCAGAAATGCATCGAATAAAATAAAAAAAAAGCAATCAGTAGCGTTTTGCACTGATTACAGGCGCTCTTAGTTGCCGATGAGGTTGATGAGCTTCTCCTTCCACTCGTTCAAAGTCTCACTCATTGCTGCCTTTTCCGCCTTTGCCTCCTTCAGCTCCTTCTCCAACGCCTCATTCTTTGCCCGTAGCTCCTCTATCTCCCGAGCGGCGGCTTCCGCTTTGGCTGCTTGCATCCTGAGTCTCTCAAGATCTGCTTGAGGAATGCGTCCCGCTTGGGCTGCTGCGCGCTGCGACAGAATAATCTGGTTGTCACGGATGCTCACATCTTGACGCAACTTGACGATTTCAGCCTCGAGTTCAGCAACGTGTTGTCGAAGCGTCATGGCGTTTTCCAGCTCGCGATATAAAACCCAGAGCGCGGAATCCACCTCCGTAGACAGGGTTGCAAAGCGCGACTTGCGGGCATGGGAATCTAGGAGAGAGAAGTTTTGTGAGGTAGACGAAGGAGGGACTGTGGAATCGTTACGACGGGAGGATGTGGATGTCGAGACAGGTCGGCCCGGAGGGCGCGGAGACGAGGCGGCGGTTTGAGAAGACGGCGCAGAGGTGACGGGTTCGGAAGTGGACTTTGAGGGCATCCCCTGGGACATCGATCGCGAAATCTCGGCCAGTATGGAGAGCGCTTGCTGGTTTCCGGGACCAGAATCGGTTGTCGCAGGGGTCGTCCCGGGTTGTTGCCCCGAAGAGGTCGTACCTTCCCCTGCCCCCAGCTTTTGCTCCGGAACATTGTTCGACGACTGTTGTTGTGCAGACAGAGGAGGAGAAGTCGGCGGGGTCACAGTCGGCGGTTCGACATGCCAATTGCGTCGGACGCAGACGGGACAATACCAGTTTTTATGCTCGTCATAAGTCCACCCAGGCGGCATGCATGCGTCATGGAATGACCTCCTGCAGGTGTTGCAAGGCACGAGGCTCTTTGGTCGACGGCAAATAAAGCAGTAATCGTCGTGAACAGACCCGTTTCCTAAGGGCAAAAACCCAATGTTAAAACACGCCGGAAGTCCGAGTCAGGAGTAACAGGATCACTTACGCCGCCAATTTTGGTACCGCTCGATTTGGGCAGACATCGGCTCATTAAGGTAGGCTAACAATGGATTCGACTCCGCAGGTTGGGATTGCGACGAACCCGCACCCTCCTCCCGATCGCCGCGCGGGGGATCATTATGTAGTAATGACTGCTCTTCCGTGAGCGCAGCCTGTCCTCGCGATGTCGGCGGCGATGCCACTCGTGGTCGTTTGGCCCGTGGTTCTGGCGTCGAGCTTTGTGTAGACGCTGGTGGGACATCTGAGCCAGCCCTAGACGCCGTATCCGTTGTCATTGTTGACGGCGGCCAGATGAACTTGGTTCGTGTTCGAGGCATCTGGTAGGTATTGCGACTTCGCGGAGAGCTGGTCAACAGGAAACCAGCAACTCCGAACAGATGCTAGGATTCGACACAGCCCCGTCACAGAGAGAAGGGGGGGGGGGTTAATTTTTTGGCTGAAGGGAATAAATAATACTGGAGTAGATCGCGGAGAAACAGAGGCGGAAACTCGGCTTGTGACTTGCTTTATAAGCAAGTTTGATTCGTTTGCTTGTCTGGATCGCGGAGGTAAATAATAATCGCCGCCCAGAGAATAAAAATAACCAACAAACAACCCGGAAGCAGCCGATATATCGAGGGCAGCTAAGTAATATTTAATTATTCATCGAAAAATGGCTACCTGGCACGAGTAACCCCTACTACATCCCATACCAGATGCCTTTATTGTATCAGTAATCCATAATTACCACTAGGTACCTAAGGTGACAGAGCGAAAATCTACCTAGTCAAAAAGGAAAAGGGACAGCAAGGGAGGCGAAATCTACTGCGGGCAATTTTATTACGTCCAATAATGACTAGATCATTACCAACTACCCTACTACGAGGCCTGACGAGCTGGACTGGGGATCGGTACGTGCAGTGGGCGGTCAAAGAGGCAAAGCGCGATTTGTAAGCACAACGCAAGTCATCTTCTCAGTTTTTTCTGGAAACTTGTGTGATTGGCCAGATCTGCTTATTCAGAAGTGTCAACAAATTATGTAAGCAGTTACATAACTAACGTGATCTATAACCTAGTCGGACAAATGGCCTAGTCGGACACTTCCCCACCATCATACAGCTTCACAGTCAAATTTCACCACAACTATATAGAGAAATCATCTAATTACATTAAGAACTATTTCTTGTACGCTGGGAGCATGTACGGGCAGTATGCCCAACTGTTCCACATATACTGCACTGACGTGCAGCACGTTTTTGTGGTCTTTCCTCAGTAACCTCAACCACCCTACTCTCCTCTTCATTAGCTCTTCGTACACGATCTATCCCTTCTTCAATAGTTAAAGCATCTTCCTGTCCTATATATGTACGGCGCCTCTCTTGCTTTCTCTTTTGCTTCTCATTTGCAGCCTTCAGTGCCCTG